ACTTTCATTTCTTACTCAGTCATGGATGCTACCACAAGACATGCATGCTGACTTTCCAAGGAAGTGCGGAGGAGTTGCAGAGGTGAAAGTTTAGCCTCAATTTTGAGTTCAGGTTCTCATATAAAATGGTACCTCCTTAGTAAACTCACAGGCCTGTGTGTGTGACTGAAAAACTTGCGACTTGGCTCATATTTGGGCAATTTTGGCACCATTCCTCACACTGAAGAACCGTGCATTGCATGAAATGGCTGATAGGCACACTTGCATTAAAGATATACTGAATGCCCTATGAGATCCATTTGATCACGCTAGTCCAGATCCACCTGTTTCTGTTGCTCTGTGTATTTTGCCAGACTGTTTAGCGTACAGAGAACCTCTGGCATGAAGTCATGCTAAAAACACCCTCCTGCTGCTGCCTGGCACTGGATGTGTTGGCAGGGAAGGGCTTACTCAAGTCTTCCTTCATTGCAGAGATTCCCAGCAGCCATAATAGCTTTTTAAAGACACTGACAGGCAGCATAATGCAGAGCAGCCCCCAGGATGCCCTATGTTACACCAGAGGGGCAGCCTGGCTGTGGGCCAGGCGAGGAGAAGGCGTTTCAGTGCTGGTTTGTTTGCCGTCTCTCACTACCACTTGGCCTATTCTCAAACACCAGCTGTACCACACAAGCAGTCTTCAGAGGTTTCACTCATCAGCAAAATTTCCGCACAGCTCTCTTTCAGAGAACCATTCCTAATTGAATCTATGACTGTCAGCACTCCGCCTGTGTCTTGGAAAGGCCTGACTTGTTAGAGACCTGCTCCATGGAAATGCAGAGCAGCGGTTTGGGCAGAGGTCCCCAGTCGTGTGCTGAGAAAGAGCTCTGAGGTCTGTTGAGCAGCATGTGGCCCCAGCCGGTTGTCTTGGGATGAAGAAAGGTCATATTGCAACACAGAACAACTCTGCAGTGTCCTCTACCACCTCAACAGTGCTCCAAAGAGGAATGTTTGCTATTGGTGTTTGGCACACAATACCATTGTATCCACCTTAAATTGGACTTAGCCTATAATGTGCTTCATGAACTTGAGAACTGCATGTGACACCTAGCAGAACTCAAATTTGGAGAAACTAATTCAAATGCCTCTGCTTTCTGGTGATTTGTTCAATCTTATGTCCTGTCATACACTTGGCCAGCTAGACTGTAATCTGAATGGCCAGCTATAGTGGTTGTGTTAAAAAACAACCAACTTAAAAGAATGCAGGAGACCAGAAGTCTTTCATTGCCATCTCCCAGTTCCTCTTGTAAAAATATTCCTAACAATTCTATCTACAAAGGACTTATACTGCAGGTAGAGGTATGCACTATTGATAGCCATACATTTTATTAAATATTAACATGGAACAAAAGAACAATACAAATTAAACATACATGTTAAAAGCTGTCTAAATATTAAAGGAACTAATAAGAACAATCTTTTTTTTTCTAGGCAGAAGATTAATCCTATTCAAATTCCATTCTATTTAAAATGGAGCATATGTATATATGGCCTAGTCCTGTTTCCCCAATGGACAGTTTAACCCTAGCAAGTAATACCTTACGTGGTAAAGGCAGCCCATGTGGAGAGATGGGCTATGAGAAAACCGTACTCCATCTTTCGGGCATATCTGTATAAGGTGAGACCCTTATTAAGGGGTAATGGTTCTGCTAGATCTACTTTGGTTGACTTTCTGAAATGCAAAGCCCAAGGGACAGCCTAATTCTGCCTTTTGGTTTCCCTTGAAATACTATCTGAAAGTGCATCCTTCTCCCTGCACTGAAATCAGAGACTAGCACCTTGGGATCTGCTGTTATGCCTTTAAAATCTGTGAAAGCTGGGGAGCTTTCCATGGTGTGGAGCAAGAATTACCAGAAAGACATTTGTTAATGGTGTGGCCAGCTGAAGAAATGATTCACATGGAGGCCCTGCAGGAAGCCAGGCTCACAAGTGATGCCTTTCCTCAAAAAGCCAGGGGAGGAGAGGTGTATCGAATAAAGGTGAAGGTGGTGATGGAGTCGGTTTCATTGCTACTATCTATCATCGCTGGAGATCTCCCTGGAGGATTTCCTACAAGATGCTCTGCTAAAACAGCCTTTTCAGTGGGAGCAGGGAGGATGACTGGGAATGCAGAAACAAAAAACACCGCCCCGATCTCCTGTCCCAGAGAAGGGAGCCTGAGCATCTCTGTCCTGCCACATGTCAGAGGCATGGACTGAGCTCCACATCACTGTTTTCAGTCCCCAGTCCACTGTTCCAATGTATTTACTGGCTCTTCTGCTTTTGCTACTGCTCTAATAGCATGCTTCCGCTTCCATGTGAAGAACATAATTAGTAATGATTCTTAGTGACTCAACAATAAGTGTCACCAGAGGACTTTCACATACTTTGCAAACATTAATACATTTCTATATTTGTTCCATATCTTCCAGTACTCACAAGATTTAAGATCTTACCTTACAAGACTTAAATATCATTGTTATCTGTCCTTCACAGTAGAATAAGTCTATTTGATGAAATGAGATATTCTTAATTCTTACTAAAGTGTGGCTAAAGAAATGAGGATCAAGAGGCACTGTAGAATAATGGAAGAAGTCTTTCACATATCCACTATCTTCTCTGCAATCTACATTCCATTCTATTGGATGCATAACTTAATTTTATGGCATTTGGATATGGCATATCCAAACTTTGGATAGTCTTTATATTATAGAATTAAGACTAAGAAATTAATGGTTGTTTAAAGGCAAGGTGTACATCTCAAAATGCAGAGTTTGTCTTCTGGAATCTTAACTTGGGATGAAGAAAAGGCAGCTGTACCCTTTACTGAGTGCCTTTAGTTATAACTTACTGTCCCCAAGACACTTCAGGAAGCATTTTGGTACCAGGATGTTGAAAAGCTATTCAGTATGGTGAGTAAAGAAAGCACCTAAGATTCTCAGAACAGCCTCCTGTCAGATTCATTCATTGTATGCCCACCTTGCCTCTCCATTTGTGTGTTAAAGGTCAAAAAATTAATGGTTCAACTGGTACATTGTTCTGGACCATCCAGGGGAGCAATATATTCCAAAGCTCTATAACCAGAACTAACATTTTTGTTCATGTTTATATCAGGGAAGAATTCTAACTTGCAATTAGTGTGGCACTTTCAGGCAGTTAGAAGTTGACCTTTTTCCAGCTTTCAGGCTCTAAACCATATTTAGTAATTTCTGTTATCTTCAGAAAACTAATGGGAATAAACTGTCACATGTATCAGAGCCCCACATAGATGAGTGGCAGAGGAACTGAAGACGGCTTGAGTCACCTTTCTTGGGAGACCCTAGGGCTGGTTACAGCATTCACAATAGCTCTTTCTACACTAAATTTAAAAATAAAAACAAACACCACCACCCCCCCAACTCCAAAAACCACCTGTTGGTATTCTTTCACAAAAAAGAAATGTAAAATAGTTTGAACTTGCATCAACTATGGAACTCCTTAAGATACTGCCTCTACATGCCACGTGGAGCATGTTAAGCTGACTTTCCATCAACAGCAGAAATTCCCCATGACTGGGGACTTTTTCTAAGCCACAGTATTTTTAAAGTTTTTTTTGATGTTTCTCTGCTGGTCCAGTGCAGCCTTGTCCCCGAGTCCTCTCTGTAGGACCACTGCCTAAGTTGCACACACATAATATACCACCATGAAAGAGCTGCAAAATGTCTGCAGTTATCCTTCTGTGTATACTTATTTCATTTTCCTACTAGAATAAAGCTGAAGTGTCTGCGATATTTCAGAAGCCAGCCATGTTTATACTGCTGAAGGGTTTGGCATCGGTCGTGAGCTCAGTAACAAAGGCCACCGCTCCCCGAGCACAGGCTTTACCACTGCTCACTGGCTAGAGCTGTGCCTAACGGGCACCCCAAGAACCCGTTGCAAACACAGAGTTACGATAAATATTCTCATCTATCGTGATATTGGCCAGTGTTTCTTGCCACCATTTGACAAATCGGAGTTTTGCTTCCACGCCCCCTGCGACTGTATTTCCAAGTTAAGAGAGTTATTACACCACGGCTAGCCCTGCCGCTGTACCCCGGATAACACTTCCACGGGATGTGAATTCAAAGGGGTTTTCCTCAGACTGGAGTAACCGAGGAGACTGAGGCATATATCCCCAAACACCGCTTTATTCACGAATCCCTTTCAGAGTTGCCCTCCTCTACCCATCAAGCACTGCAGGCGAGGAGAGGCTCCGTTCCGAACACGTGCGCGTTTCCCTTCACGTCGCCCGCCTGGCGCTCCGAGACGAGTGCAGGTCAACCTGCACAACTCCCCACAGAGCAGAGCGGTGCAGGGTCACCAGGTCCCCTCCTTTATGGGGTCCCGAACCCCTAGCTATGCTAGGGCGCATCTTTACTTTGATTTAATAACTTCTCTGTCTTTAAACCTATTTACTTTTCTTCAGTGGTCCAAAAAACCCGCATTGTATTTATAATTTCAGCAGCTGGAGTTGAGGCCTGAGGCCTGCTCTGTGGGAGAGCTCGGTGAGGTGCCGTCCTCTTCCTGCTCCCCACATGTGTGTGCCGTGTTTCCTATGTTGCTCTTGTGAAGCTGAGAAATGTAACGGCACCTTTGCTACTTGTTAGTGCTTGTGTGATTTACTGCAGCTAGGCCTTGTAAATGGGATGTGAGCCTTGTCATAAAACAGAAATGTGTATCGCTGTGGAGTTGTTTAGCAAAAAATGTTATTATTCTGCTCTGAAGGAAAAAGAAAATATACACCTCAGATAATTCCTGGCTAGGAAGTTCAAAATACATTTAGTATGTTGCACACTGAAAATCAGTGCATTGGCCAGTTTCTCCTTACTTGTTTTTCTCTGTTCCTGCTTTCTTGCTGCTACACAAGCAATAATTACTGCAAGGAAACAGCATTTTAATTGCTACTGACTTGTTGAGGAGGAAGCCGGTGTTTTGTCCCGGGACCTGCATCTTCTGCCGCACGGTAGAGGCCCCGACATAAGAGTCCGAGTTGGATTCTCTACTATGAACGTACAGTTTCCAGAGCAGGCTTGCCCCTGATTGGTAGGTAAAGCGAAGGTGGTGGATCTTGAATCTGGGTGTGTAGAGGTACCCATAGACAAGCTTGAAAGTTGCGCTGGGCTCTTGGGTCGGTATTCGTTAATTCATAGACGTTAGCACAAGCCATGCTTACGTTCTGAGGGCCAGAGCCCTGGATCCTCAGGATGTGGAGAATACGGTCATGATCAGCATTGCTTCATGCCATTTACTAGCCTTTTTGATCTCTTTAGTATATTTTATTTATATTGTGAAACACAAGGATAATGACATATGTGAGTAGGTGTTGATTGTGCTGAGTTCCTCTGCTCTGTGACCTTTATGAATATTCTAGAGTGACAGCTTGCTGATACTTACTTTTTTCTGGAATTACAAATACAAATGCAAAACTATACTGTATGTAGGCATCTCATTGCTTTCTTGTTGAAAGTGCTGTTTTTTTTCCGCAATGACTTCCCGCTAAACAAGCAAATTATTGTGGAATACAGCAAGGACAGATCCAAATTAAGTATAGTGTAAGGAAAATGCGTGTTTGAAAAACTGGAAACAAGAAGACAAAGTTCTGCAACAACTGGCTCTTTCCCTCCTTGCTGAAGCGTTCTTCCTCTGTTCCTGGAGAGATTCTTGCCTCCCCTTTGGGGTAGGTGCGTGCTGCTTATACTACTAGTCTAGACTATTGTGTTAACGATTGCATTATTAAGGTGGTGCTTTGAGGGCATCAGAGCTGCTCAAGTACTTCTGGACCCTCCTACAATTTAATAAGCTTAAAATAGTAGCACCTCATCTTTTACCTGTCAGTCACAGGTTAAGTGATGCTCATTTTCTCTCTATAGATAAAGTAATATGTAGGCATCTAATAGAAAAATACTGGCAATGCTTCTCTATTTTTGCAGAGCAGAAATGGTTGGTGCTTGTTTTATTAATCTTGTACTTCTGCTGGATATGCAGTTACTTACTGTGACTCAAGGTACAGTACAAATCCTTGTTGCAGACCTGTCCACTGAATCATTCTTTAAAACAAAATTATGACATTGCCTTTGCTTTCCCAAAAGGGAATCAGTGTCAAAAGCAGTTATCTGCCTTGAAAATAAAAACCACCTTTGCCAATGGGTCGTAGCCTTCCTAGCTCGTCTGTATTATGTACCAGTCCCAGACTGAAACTAAATAACAGCAAAATCACTTAATTTGTTCATATGGAAGATTTTTTGGTGGTGGTGGTGGGAATTATCTGAGATCTTGGCCAATACCCACCACATTTCTAGACTTCCTGAAATATTGCACAGACACAGAATATTTCATTCTGGTACCAATAAGATATAAATGTCCCGCAAATGTAAGAATATTTGTGAGGAAGAAAAATGGTGTATCTGCAAGGAAAAAAATACCACTTCACAATGACACTTGTTTTAATAGCGTCTTATCCCCATATCTGTGGTTGTGAATACTGCCTTTCTGTTATGTATGGATGGAAATGTAAGAATGATTGATAACTTTTTCCATATCCATAAAAATGAAATTTGATTGGCTTGTCATCGAGGGTCCTGTTCATGAAGCTGGTCGCTTTGTCACGGCAGTTGCAATGAACATGCTCTAACATGTAACAGCTATAAAGCATGGGTCTTTGCATGCAGGTGTTTAAAGACAATCATCCCAGCATATTTCGTTTTCTAGAAATGGTTTAAAAGCCGAGGGGAGCGTTTTAGTAGAGAGGAGGATCATAACTTTCTTTTACACACTGACTTGCTTGTGTATGTATTAGAATTTTTTTTTTTTAAAGTATCTTCACCTTTCCCGCACCTTATGCGTTCACTTCTGATGTGCCTATTCACTGTCTTGGCACAAATTGAAACACAGAAAATACCATCTGAACATAAGAAAATTTTTTTTTGCTGTGAGGATGGTTTAACATTGGAGCAGGTTGCTCAGAGCAGTTGTGGAGCCTCCATCCTTGGAGATGCTCAGCATCGAACTGGAGATGGCCCTGGGCAACCTGCTGCAGCTGATGCTGGACCTCCAGAAGTGCCTTCCAACCTCAGCTGTTCTGTGACCATCAGTTGCTCAGCCCGCTTACACTGCTGCAGTAATTCAGCACCCTCTCTGTGCAACATGCATTCACCTGAACACGCTGAGCATAGCCTGCTGCTGTAATGCATTAATGATTAAATAGAAAACGATGACTAAATCACTTATGTGGAGTAAAACACTTGCTTTAGTGCCATTCAACTGTTCGCTTATTCAGAAATATAAAGAGGTTGATGCTGTGTCTCAGGGAATAATAAATATTTCCATAGCTTCATGAATTACAAGCATGTTATGTCACGTTTTAAACCATCTATTTCTGAACTGTAGAAAATACTAATTGGATAATATGGTAGAGAATTTGTTTAGAGTAGCTCAGCATCAATCACATATTAACGGGATAGGAAATGAGTGTTTATACTGTAAGAAGAATTAGAGTGCCAGCTTTCAAGTGGTCCAGAACATCAGTCTTTCTAACTCTAGTAGTTTTGAGAAGCTGACTGCTCAAATCATCTATAAAAGATTGTTGAAAAGATGTTTAATTGATCACTAAATTACTCAATATGCTTTGCTTCTTCCCCCCCTCCCCCCCCCCCCCCGCCAGATCAGTGATCAAAAGAGAGAAAATAATATCCTTGTTTGTCCTTTGATCTCTGGAAAATGACTTCTGTTTATTGCCATTGAGTTACGTCCAAGGGTCTTAGGCTAGTTTTAATACTAAGGGAAATGAATGCAGTTTGAAAAACAGATGCCCTTCTGCCTTTAGATATTTTACATTCTTAGTGAGTCTACCTCCAATGTGACATGCCAGAGCAAAAATAAATCTCTGATGTGCATGTTTTATGTATTGAGACAAGCTGCAATTTGGCTGAGAACAAATACATAGGGAATGAAACCTGATCACCTAAATTGTTTCTGCATATAAAGACATAAAATTTAAACTGAGTATGCATTTTGTGCATCAAAATGTGCATAGGTAAATGTTAACATTTTCTGCATGTGTAAAGTGAAAAAAATAGTTATTCTTGCTTAACAATAGTTTGTCTGCACCACAGATTGTTTAAGCCTGCTGCAGAGGTGCTTGTAGTCAAAAAGAGGTGATTTGAAAATACCAAATTTGTCAGGCTGTATGATTTTATCTTACAGTGTTCTTTTACATGTGCTTTTTTTTTTTAGTAATCAAACTAAAAGGAATCCCTTTAACTCTTGTTCAGTTTCAATAAACAAGTCTCTTATGCTGCTCTTGCCAATGTGTCTTGCTCTGATACATATGTTTTATGACTTGATTTGAACCAATCCTTTGAGTGGATTGCCTATCTAATCTTTTTTTAGGTCAGGGGAAAAATTACTTTTTCACAATTATTATAGTACAGTACATATTTCATTTTGAGATATTGTTATTTCTTGTTTTTAAGAAGCAATATAATTACAGTTTATAATAGAGTACGCTTCTATAGTCGTTTCTGGCTCCATTAAGACTAAGCAGTCTTTCTCTCATCAGCATTTTATTGTTACATGTTTTCTGCTAAAGTAGTATCATCTTTACTCATGCCAGAAATGAGATTGCTCTAGAAATAACGGTAACAAAATTAGTAAATTAAAATTAACACATATTTTGATATTGTCCAGCTTGATTTGCAAGTGAGCTTTCATCAATCGTAGAATGATTTGGATACAAGTGCTGTTTAGCAGCCTAACCGTTCAGCTCACAAGAGGTCACAGAAGAACAACTTTGGAGAGGAACTGGATTTTTCTTCTCTTTCTCACTCCTTTTTTCTCTCTGGTCCTTGGATGCTCTGTTCTCTGACTGTCCCTAGGCACTAACCTGGTCTCTTCCTGTAGGTTTGGACCCTATGAGCTGCTTCCTTTTCAAAACAAGAATGAATGAAAGAGCTTGGTTGCTGTCCTTTGCTCTAGTTGAACAGGCATTGCATGTTTCTGCGTTGCTGGGCATTTTCAGCTGTCTTTTTTGAAAGTGAGTGAGAAACTGCAGCTGCATGCAAGCCATGGGGAGGACAGAGAGAAAGTCCACACCAAGTTTTGAAATTTTTATTTTAATATTTTTAAATTCTGGTCTTTAGTTATCAAGAAGACGACATAGATGTCACGTGAACATGGGTGTTTTAATACAAACTGGAAGAAGTCACATGTTGTGGTAAAACCTATGAAATGCGTAGGAAGAATTTGAAACATCAAAGGAAAAAAATCATGATGGTGCTGCAAAGAATGCAGGCAAAATTGATACCAGTCTCATTTGGGGGGAAAAAGCCCAGCCAAAAAACTGGAATGTGCATACTGAATTGGAAAGTAAAAATGCTGAGAGATGGGAATGTTTAATACTTCTGCCTTCTAGCTGTTGTATAATGAAATTGAAGTCAACGTAATGCTTGCATCCCTAGCAAGAACTTTCAAAGTCCGACTGCATGGGTATTTTTTTTTTTTTTGCATTTGAATACCATATTGGAGAAACTCTGGATGCATATTGGAGTGTGTTCACTGCACGGCTTGGAAAAATGCTGAGAGATGGGAATGTTTAATACTTCTGCCTTCTAGCTGTTGTATAATGAAATTGAAGTCAACGTAATGCTTGCATCCCTAGCAAGAACTTTCAAAGTCCGACTGCATGGGTATTTTTTTTTTTTTTGCATTTGAATACCATATTGGAGAAACTCTGGATGCATATTGGAGTGTGTTCACTGCACGGCTTGGAAAAGAAATGAGGAGCCATATTGGAGAAACTCTGGATGCATATGGGAGTGTGTTCACTGCACGGCTTGGAAAAGAAATGAGGAAGACTGTGAGGATATGATTAAGTGAACAGGATAAACGTTTTCAGATTTTGAAGTAGGGAGCGTGCAGTGTTTCCCAGAGGTGAGGAAGAGCCTGAGAGGTGCTATTGACAATACCATTGTTTGTTTTGGGCTGACTTAAAGACTGTGAGCCCTAAAGCAGCATCTTCCCCCTTGCTAGTGGTAGTGCTTGGCTGG